TGCATGCGACCCCCTTTTTTCCTCCAAACATAACGATGGTCATTATGGCCAAACAGTTCTATTTTTGTTTCATCGGACCAGAGGACATTTCTCCAAAAAGTACGATCTTTGTCCCATGGGCAGTTGCAAACCGTAGTCTGGCTTTTTTATGGCGGTTTTGGAGCAGTGGCTTCTTCCTTGCTGAGCGGCCTTTCAGCTTATGTCGATTATAGGACTCGTTTTACAGTGATATATAAATACTTATGTACCTGTTTCCTCCAGCATCTTCACAATGTCCTTTGCTGTTGTTCTGGGATTGATTTGCACTTTTCACACCAAAATACATTAATCTCTAGGAGACAGAACGCGTCTCCTTCCTGAGCGGTATGACAGCTGCGTGGTCCCATGGTGTTTATACTTGCGTACTATTGTTTGTACAGATGAACGTGGTACCTTCAGGCGTTTGGAAATTGCTCCCAAGGATGAACCAGACTTGTGGAGGTCTACAATTGTTTTCTGAGGTCTTGGCTGATTTTCTTTGATTTTCCCATGATGTCAAGCAAAGAGGCACTGAGTTTGAAGGTAGGCCTTGAAATAGATCCACAGGTACACCTCCAATTGACTCAAATGATGTCAATTAGCCTATCAGAAGCTTCTAAAGCCATGACATCATTTTCTAGAATTTTTCAAGCTGTTTAAAAAGGCACAGTCAACATAGTGTATGTAAACTTCTTACCCACTGGAATTGTGATACAGTGAATTAGAAGTGAAATAATCTGTCTGTAAACAATTGTTGGAAAAATGACTTGTGTCATGCACAAAGTAGATGTCCTAACCGACTTGTTAAAAATATAGTTTGTTAACAATACATTTGTGGAGTGGTTGAAAAATAAGTTTTAATGACTCCAACCTAAGTGCATGTAAACTTCCGACTTCAACTGTACATACAGTATCAACCTCAATTACCTTGTACCTCTGCACATCGACTCGGTACTAGTACCCCTTGTATATAGCCAAGTTATCGTTACTCATTGTGTATTTTTTGCTAGTTATTATTTTTCAATTATACGGTCTCTCTTTTTTTTCTCTCTGCATTTTTGGGAAGGGCCCGTAAGCATTTCACTCTTAGTCTACACATATTTACGAAGCATATGACAAATAAAATCTTACTGCACAATAAACATAACATTATTGTGAATGAAACATCCAAACACCTACAAAGCAAGTTAAGCAACACATATTCAACATTGCTATCCATACAAGACCATTCTAACAATGAAATACACTGTAAGCACTTACAGGGGAACATAAATTCAATACATGGTAGAAGCGCTTACAGAAGTGACAAGCAAGGCAAAGTCATTTTGGATTTACAGTGGGGGGAAAAAGTATTTAGTCAGCCACCAATTGTGCAAATTCTCCCACTTAAAAAGATGAGAGAGGCCTGTAATTGTCATCATAGGTACACGTCAACTATGACAGACAAAATGAGGAGAAAAAAATCCAGAAAATCACATTGTAGGATTGTTAATTAATTAATTTGCAAATTATGGTGGAAAATAAGTATTTGGTCAATAACAAAAGTTTCTCAATACTTTGTTATATACCCTTTGTTGGCAATGACACAGGTCAAACGTTTTTTGTAAGTCTTCACAAGGTTTTCACACACTGTTGCTGGTATTTTGGCCCATTGCTCCATGCAGATCTCCTCTAGAGCAGTGATGTTTTGGGGCTGTCGCTGGGCAACACGGACTTTCAACTCCCTCCAAAGATTTTCTATGGGGTTGAGATCTGGAGACTGGCTAGGCCACTCCAGGACCTTGAAATGCTTCTTACGAAGCCACTCCTTCGTTGCCCGGGCGGTGTGTTTGGGATCATTGTCATGCTGAAAGGCCCAGCCACGTTTCATCTTCAATGCCCTTGCTGATGGAAGGAGGTTTTCACTCAAAATCTCACGATACATGGCCCCATTCATTCTTTCCTTTAGACGGATCAGTCATCCTGGTCCCTTTGCAGAAAAACATCCCCAAAGCATGATGTTTCCACCCCCATGCTTCACAGTAGGTATGGTGTTCTTTGGATGCAACTCAGCATTCTTTGTCCTCCAAACACGGCGAGTTGAGTTTTTACCAAAAAGTTCTATTTTGGTTTCATCTGACCATATGACATTCTCCCAATCCTCTTCTGGATCATCCAAATGCACTCTAGCAAACTTCAGACGGGCCTGGACATGTACTGGCTTAAGCAGGGGGACACATCTGGCACTGCAGAATTTGAGTCCCTGGCGGCGTAGTGTGTTACTGATGGTAGGCTTTGTTACTTTGGTCCTAGCTCTCTGCAGGTCATTCACTAGGTCCCCCCGTGTGGTTCTGGGATTTTTGCTCACCGTTCTTGTGATCATTTTGACCCCACGGGGTGAGATCTTGCGTGGAGCCCCAGATCGAGGGAGATTATCAGTGGTCTTGTATGTCTTCCATTTCCTAATAATTGCTCCCACAGTTGATTTCTTCAAACCAAGCTGCTTACCTATTGCAGATTCAGTCTTCCCAGCCTGGTGCAGGTCTACAATTTTGTTTCTGGTGAATTTTGACAGCTCTTTGGTCTTGGCCATAGTGGAGTTTGGAGTGTGACTGTTTGAGGTTGTGGACAGGTGTCTTTTATACTGATAACAAGTTCAAACAGGTGCCATTAATACAGGTAACGAGTGGAGGACAGAGGAGCCTCTTAAAGAAGAAGTTACAGGTCTGTGAGAGCCAGAAATCTTGCTTGTTTGTAGGTGACCAAATACTTATTTTCCACCATAATTTGCAAATAAATTCATTAAAAATCCTACAATGGGATTTTCTGGATTTTTTCCCCTCCATTTTTCTGTCATTGTTGACGTGTACCTATGATGAAAATTACAGGCCTCTCTCATCTTTTTAAGTGGGAGAACTTGCACAATTGGTGGCTGACTAAATACTTTTTTCCCCCACTGTATAACCAAGGTGGATTTAACCTTTCAATCTGTATTTGATAGATGGGCCCTAAAACTGTATTCTCTGATCAAAGCCCTAAAGGTGTGTTTACTAGGTGTGTACTGTATACTAGGACTTGGCTAGCAGGTTGGCATTTATTGTCATGAGTCTTGCCCTGTAGGCACAGACACAAAGTAATAAAATCAGATTTTAAACCTAACCATAACCCCGCTGCTAACCCTAAGGCCTAACTCTAACTGAAGACCAAAAAGCTAATTTTTGTTTTCATAAATGTTTAAGATATAGACCATTTTGACTTTGCAGCTGGTCCATCTAGCAGAAACCGCTCAGTTCTGCCTCCAGGGCAAGACTCATGAAAATAAACAACATGCAGATGGTTACAGGCAGAGAATATTTCAAATGTTCTTAATTTTAGACAATCGTGTGGCCTTGAATTTAGGTTAATGACCCGACCCCGCCCTCTCAGAAGAACAATGTGTGTGTTGTGTTTGGTGACTCATCTTCATAATCTGGCTATAGGCTCAACAATAGCATTTCCCAATCGTTACAACATATACACATACAGTTCATACAAAGGAACAAATCACAACGACAGGTTATCTATTCTCTGACATTCCTCTGGAATCGGAGGAATTGAAAGCCACGAAAAGCTTTGTGCAGTGTCTGGGATTGTATAGCATGTTAAATATGTGAGTGAGTAACTGGAATTTGTGTATTATAAGGAGCAGGATCCTGAGATAATGCTGTTAAAAGCTGTTTGAGGTTGAGGGAAATTGTTGGGAATTATTCTCTCAGTGTACAGTAAAAACTGACAATATACTATGCTCAATTAATTGTTAAAAAAATGTTATAATAATGCAATTGCTCAGAGAAAGAGATTCTGTTTAACAAGTAATATCTTTTTGAGAAAAGAATGTGGGGTAACAAATATTGCCAGCCCTGTTTTCCACCCTCCCCTTGCAAGGATAATGGCACTGAGCCTTTTTATAAAATGTTTTATGAGATTGGAGAACACATTTGGAGCAATCTTAGAATATCAAGGTCATTCGCTTATAAATCAACTTCTGTTAGGCCAAATCGCTTCACGACAGTTCTGTCTGACAGCCCCGCATCATTGCTTCAATTCAGTTGGCCTCGAAACACTGGGGTATCAGCTTACATATCCACAGCCATTGGAGGCTCGAAAGTCCCGCTTTAACGCTCCTTCGCTGATCGGAATGTCCGTCAATTTGTGGCGGAACAGTACATCTCAGGCACACAAGCTGCATAGTGCTGCAAAGCTGAGCGTCTACTGCAGTGATAGCAAACACACATTGATTTATATCTAATTAAAAATTTTACAAAAACATGAACACAATTTGAAGATGTGAAACAAAACCACGGTGTTCATCACAGAGGGAGAACTTTATATTAGATGAAAGCTGAGATCGTGACGAATCAGTAGATTCACTGGGCAACTCTGTGGTATGTTCACAGGGGGAGAGAGAACAATGAATAAGAGCAGTCCACTAGAAATGCGTCAGATTTTCCTTGACCACTAGCTATATAAAAAAGTATTACAGTAATAAGGCAGCTGAAATCTTATAGCATGTCAATTGTAAAGTTGATTGTGAATATATTTAGAGTATAATTATTATTTTTTTTTTTATAATGAATAGGTTGTTCATAGCATATTACATTTTTTAATGAAATCTACTATAGCAGGTAACACTTGTGCAAAAAGTGCATACAAATCATAGATAAATAATACATTAAATAATATTCAATCTGAGCTTTCTAACAGTATAATGGCCCTCTCATGAAGATAAGTGGATGGTCTTATGAAACCTAACATTAAAATTCAACAATAATGATCATCATGTAACTGGAAATGTCCCTTCCATCTGTCCCTGTCGGATTAAAGAAGAGCGGGCAAGTAGCGTGTAATGCAAGACCAGGGATGGTGCCCACTAGTATACAGCAAATCGATAAGCATTTAAATTGAATCAAATAAAATATCCAAATAGAATTTAATCAAACTTAATCAAATTGAACTAAATTGAATCAGTACGACTCACTCATGTCGTAGAAGTGCTGCCAGAAGGCCTCCACCCAGCGCTGTGTGTCCTGGGGTGTGTGTGTGGCCAGAGTGTGTGTGACAGCTTCGTCACCTCGGGTGTGTGTGCTGATGGATATACTCTGGGTATGGTGGAGAGGCCCTCTCTCGGACACACGGACACGGGTCTCCTTAGAAGGAGACAAACACACAACACAACACATGGAGAAAAGTAATGGCTTGTAGTACTATCACAGTATAGCTGGTAACAGCTAAAGGCAACAGAGATATTTATGCTTCTGTAGTTGTGTGTCTACCTGTGCATCATGCTTGTATGACAGCAAGGGATAGATGGGTGCATACTACAGTTGGTTCAGTGAGTAAACTGCATGTGATGTGTTGTGCACGTGGCTTATGTGTTGTGCACGTATACTATATATACAAAAGTATGTGGACACCCTTTCAAATGAGTGGATTCGGCTATTTCAGCCACACCCATTGCTGACAGGTGTGTGAAATCAATAGACAAACACTGGCAGTAGAATGACCTTACTGAAGAGCTCAGTGACTTTCAACATGGCACCGTCATAGGATGCCACCTTTCCAACAAATCAGTTCGTCAACCCTGGTCATCTGTAAGTGCTGTTATTGTGAAGTGGAAACGTCTAGGAGAAACAACGGCTCAGCCGCGAAGTGGTAGGCCACACAAGCTCATAGAACGGGACTGCCGAGTGCTGAAGCGCGTAACGCCTAAAAATCATCTGTCCTCGGTTGCAACACTCACCACGAGTTCCAAACTACCTCTGGAAGCAACGTCAGCACAAGAACTGTTCGTCAGGAGCTTCATGAAATGGGTTTCCATGGCCGAGCAGCTGCACACAAGACTAAGATCACCAAGCGTTGGCTGGAGTGGTGTAAAGCTTGACGCCATTGGTCTCTGGAGCACTGTAAACGCGTTCTCTGGAGTGATTAATCACGCTTCACCATCTGGCAGTCCTACAGAAGAATCTGGGTTTGGCAGATGCCAGGAGAACGCTACCTGCCCGAAAGCATAGTGCCAACTGTAAAGTTTGGTGGAGGAGGAATAATGGTCTGGGGCTGTTTTTCCATGGTTCGGGCTAGGCCCGTTACTTCCAGTGAATGGAAATCTTAACACTACAGCATACAATGACAATCTAGACGAGTCTGTGCTTCCAACTTTGTGGCAACAGTTTGGAAAAGGCCCTTTCCTGTTTCAGCATTATAATGCCCCCGTGCACAAAGCGAAGTCAATACAGAAATGGTTTGTGGAGATCGGTGTGGAAGAACTTGACTGGCCTGCACAGAGTAACTAGATTTTCTGTATTATAAGGAGCAGGATCCTGAGATAATGTTGTTAAAAGCTGCTTGAGGTTTGGGGTTGAGGGAAATCGTTGGGAATTAACCTCTCAGTATACAGTAAAAACAGACAATATACCATGCTCAATTCATTGTTAAAAAAATATGTTATAATAATGCAATTGCTCAGAGAAAGAGACTTGAGAAAATGTTTTTGGGGTAGCAAATATTACCACCCCTGTTTTCCACCCTCCCCTTGCAAGGATAATGGCATTGAGCCTTTTCATAAAATGTTTTATGAGATTGGAGAACACATTCGGAGCAATCTTAGATCATTCCTCTGTAGTTCAATTGGTAGAGCATGGCGCTTGTAACGCCAGGGTAGTGGGTTCGATCCCCGGGACCACCCATACATAAAAATGTATGCACACATGACTGTAAGTCGCTTTGGATAAAAGCGTCTGCTAAATGGCATATTAATTAATTAATATATTATTATTAATATTAATACAGAATCTTTCTAGATCCTTGATATCCTTTGTCGTCTGCACTTTTGGACTCCCCTCTTCAATTCAAACCAATTGAAAGCCACGAAAAGCTTTGTGCAGTGTCTGGGATTGTATAGCATGTTAAATATGTGAGTGAGTAACTGGAATTTGTGTATTATAAGGAGCAGGATCCTGAGATAATGCTGTTAAAAGCTGTTCAAGGTTTGGGGTTGAGGGAAATTGTTGGGAATTAATCTCTCAGTGTACAGTAAAAACTGACAATATACTATGCTCAATTAATTGTTAAAAAAATATGTTATAATAATGCAATTGCTCAGAGAAAGAGATTCTGTTTAACAAGTAATATCTTCTTGAGAAAAAAATGTGGGGTAACAAATATTGCCAGCCCTGTTTTCCACCCTCCCCTTGCAAGGATAACGGCACTGAGCCTTTTTATAAAATGTTTTATGAGATTGGAGAACACATTTGGAGCAATCTTAGATCATTCCTCCATACAGAATCTTTCCAGATCCTTGATATCCTTTGTCGTCTGCGCTTTTGGACTGCCCTCTTCAATTCAAACCACAGGTTTTCAATGGGGTTCAAGTCCGGAGACTGAGATGGCCATTGCAATATGTTGATTATGTGGTCAAGTAATCATTTCTTTGTGGATTTTGATGTCTGCTTGGGGTTATTGTCTTGCTGGAAGATCTACTTGTGGCCAAGTTTCAGCCTCCTGGCAGAGGCAACCAGGTTTTTGGCTAAAAAGTCCTGGTATTGGTGCCGTTGACCTTAACAAATGGCCCCAGGACCAGTGGAAGCAAAATAGCCCCATAACATCAAAGATCTACCACCACATTTTACAGTAGGTATGGGGTTCATTTCTGTATATAATTGACATGCTTCTTTTGCCAAACCTACCACTGGTATGCGTGGCCAAAGAGCTCTATTTCCATGTTATCCAACAAATGTAAATGGCTTGAGTTTGCTAAACAGCATTGGCACTTGAATTGGAACTGGTGCTATGGTCAGATGACATGAAAATAACGCTCTTTGGCCATGCACACCAGTGGTGGGTTTGGCGCAGCAGGAGATGTGTGTGTGTGTGACAGGAGATTAAAGCAACAGGTCTCATCTCTGTCTTCTCACAGACTGGCAAGATAAAAGCAGGTATTAGAGAGACAAAGGAATTGGGTAGAGCCAGTCTTGGCAGCTGATTTGTTGTGCACATGGCTGATGTGTCAGGCTGATAAGCACCGACATTGCATGAAATAGCTGGCTTCATTGTGAGAGAATGTGCGAAGGGTTAAATAGCAGGCAAACAGAATTCCATTCCTGTAATTCACAAAGCAAGATCCCCAGGCAAGGGGTGTCTTTGGGTTACACCGACAGTGCTCTCTAATGGACTGATCAAGAAGCTGCAGCAGACTTCAAAGACAAATCAAATTTGTCGCATGCGCCGAATACAACAGGTACTTACCATGAAATGCTTACTTATGAGCCCTTAACCAACAATGATTTAAAAATATTAAGTAAGAAAAGTTGGAAGCACAGAATCGTCTAGAATGTCATTGTATGCTGTAGCGTTAAGATTTCCCTTCACTGGAACTAAGGGGCCTAGCCCGAACCATGAATAACAGCCCCAGACCATCATTCCTCCTCCACCAAACTTTACAGTTGGCACTATGCATTCGGGCAGACAGCGTTCTCCTGGTATCCACCAAACCCAGAGTCGTCTGTTGGACTGCCAGATGATGAAGTGTGATTCATCACTCCAGAGAACGCGTTTCCACTGCTCCAGAGTCCAATGGCGGCAAGCTTTACACCACTCCAGTCGATGCTTAGCATTGCGCATAGTGATCCTAGGCTTGTGTGCGGCCCATGGAAACCCATTTCATGAAGCTCCCGATGAACAGTTCTTGTGCTGACGTTGCTTCCAGAGGCAGTTTGGATCTCGGTAGTGAGTGTTGCAACCGAGGACAGATGATTTTTAGGCGCCACGCACTTCAGCAGTCCCGTTCTGTGAGCTTGTGCGGCCTACCACTTCACGAATGAGCCGATGTTGGTCCTACTCGTTTCCACTTCACAATAACAGCACTTACAGTTGACTTGGGCAGCTCTAGCAGGACAGATATTTGACGAACTGACTTGTTGGAAAGGTGGCATCCGATGGCAGTCCCACGTTGAAAGTCACTGAGCTCTTCAGTAAGGCCATTCTACTGCCAATGTTTCTCTATGGAGATTGCATGGCTGTGTGCTAGATTTTTTACACGTCAGCAACAGGTGTGACTGAAATAGCCGAAACCACTCATTTGAAGGGTTTTCCACATACTTTTGGCCATGTAGTGTGTGTATGTGTGTGTGTGTGTGCGGCGTCAATATGCATGTGTGTGTTTTGTGTGTGTGTTTGTGTGTGTTTGTATTAGTGTGTGGATAAAGTCCAGTGAGTGTACACCGAGCCTGTGCAAAAATAAGAATACAAAATAATAAAATAAGGGGGTCAATGCAAATAGTCCAGGCAGCCATTTGATGAATTGTTCAGCAGTCTTATTGCTTGGGGGTAGAAGCTGTTAAGGAGCCTTTTAGTCCCAGACTTGGCACTCCGGTACTGCTTGCCGTGCAGTAGCAGAGAGAACAGTCTATGACTTGGGTGGCTGGAGTCTGACAATTTTTAGGGCCTTCCTCTGACACCGCCTGGTATAGAGGTCCTGGATGGCAGGAAGCTCAGCCCCAGTGATGTACTGGGCTGTAAGTAGAGTGGTGTTGTGCTGTTATATCTTGCTACAAGGGACGTACACCTCTAATAAAAATAAATAACAAAATGTCCTTTTGTGGGGGCTAAATGGTGTTATAGTTCAGTATTTATGCAAAGTTGCGTCAGTCTCTGCATGTTTATGGATGACTGTGAGTGTGAATATGCTAAGTAATCAACCTTGTTGATGGCGATGGTGAATAACGGCTCCTCTTGGGCCACCATCCTCTCTTGACTGTGGTAACAGATAAGACTTGTCCCTCTGAGGACAGCGTAGATGTCGGTCCAGCACTCAGGCTCCATCTCAAGCTGATTATGAGAATGGTAAGAATGATTATAACGATGCATTTGACTAAACTACAATGCATTCGTAATGTTTTCAGTGTTATTCTAAAATGGATTAAATTAATTGTTTTCCTCATCAATCTACACACAATACCCCATAACGACAAAGAGAAAACAGGTTTAGACATCAAATAAAAACAAATACGTTATTTACATAAGTATTCAGACCCTTTGCTATGAGACTCGAAATTGAGTTCAGGTGCATCCTGTTTCCATTGATCTTCCTTGAGATGTTTCTACAACTTGATTGGAGTCAACCTGTGGTAAATTCAATTGATTGGACATGATTTGGAAAGGCACACACCTGTCTATTTAAGGTCCCACAGTTGACAGTCCATGTCAGAGCAAAAACAAAGCCAAGAGGTTGAAGGAATTGTCCATAGAGCTCCGAGACAGGATTGTGTCGAGGTACAGATCTGGGGAAGGGTACCAAAACATTTCTGCAGCATTGAAGGTCCCCAAGAACACAGTGGCCTCCATCATTCTTAAACGAAGTTTGGAACCACCAAGACTCTTCCTAGAGCTGGCCGCCCGGCCAAACTGAGCAATCGGGGAGAAGGGCCTTGGTCAGGGAGGTGACCAAGAACCCGATTGTCAGTCTGGCAGAGCTCCAGTGTTCCTCTGTGGAGATAGGAGAACCTTCCAGATGGACAACCATATCTGCAGCACTCCACCAATCAGGCCTTTATGGTAGATTGGCCAGACGGAAGCTACTCCTCAGTAAAAGGCACATGACAGCCCTTTTGGAATTTGCCAAAAGGCACTTAAAGGACTCAGAGCATGAGAAACAAAATTCTCTGGTCTGAACAAACCATGATTTAACTATTTGGCCTGAATGCCAAGCGTCACGTCTGGAGGAAAGATGGCACGATCTCTATGGTGACGCAAGGTGGTGGCAGCATCATGCTGTGGGGATGTTTTTCAGCGGCAGGGACTGGGAGACTAGTCAGGATCGAGGTAAAGATGAACGGAGAAAAGTACAGAGAGATCCTTGATGAAAACCTGCTCCAGAACGCTCAGGATCTCAGACTGGGGCGAAGGTTCACCTTCCAACAGGACAACGACCCTAAGCACACAGCCCGTGTAGCTCAGTTGGTAGAGCATGGCGCTTGCAACGCCAGGGTTGTGGGTTCGATTCCCACGGGGGACCAGTATGAAAATGTATGCACTCACTAACTAAGTCCCTCTGGATAAGAGCGTCTGCTAAAAAAGGACTAAAAAAAGACAACTCAGGAGTTGCTTCAGGACAAGTCTCTGAATGTCCTTGAGTGGCCCAGCCAGAGCTCGGACTTGATCCCGATCGAACATCTCTGGAGAGACCTGAAAATAGCTGTGCAGCGACGCTCCCCATCCAACCCGACAGAGCTTGAGAGGATCTGCAGAGAAGAATGGATGAAACTCCCCAAATACAGGTGTGCCAAGCTTGTAGCGTCATACCCAAGAAGACTCTAGGCTGTAATCGCTGCCAAAGGTGCTTCAACAAAGTACTGAGTAAAGGGTCTGAAAACGTATGTAAATGTTTCATAATTTTTTTATTACATTTGCAAAAAATCTAAAAACCTATTTTTGCTTTCTCATTATAGGGTATTGTGTGTAGATTGATGAGGGGAAAAAACGATTACATCCATTTTAGAATAAGGCTGAAACATAACAAAATGTGGAAAAAGTATTGGGGTATGAAGACATTCTGAATGCACTGTAATTACGACACTAATGATCATACTAAAGCTGAGGATTAGGATGATTAAACAAATGATGCGAATGATGATGGTGGGTGTGATACTAATGACGATGATGAAGAGTTAACTCACCTTGATCTTGAGCCTGCCGCTGATAACATGCTGGGTCATACAGAGGGGCTGGGCGGCCAGACGGCAACACAAACTGCCATAGAGAGGCAGCCAGAATGCATTGTCCTCTGGAACACAATGGGTTAATGAGTCTGTTGCTTGCTATACAAGTACAGTATACGGCGAAAGGAGAGGAGTCGCCGCTCACCTGTGGCTGATATGGACAGGTCGTGTGTTCTGAAGCTGTCCTGAACATGTGCCATTTTCAGTGTGGTGTGGGCCAGAAGGTGATACTTTGGCCCCCTGCAGACAGACACCACACACAATCAACAGTTCGTCGGAATGTACTGCATGTACAGTGCCTTGCAAAAGTATTCATCCCCCTTGGCGTTTTTCCTATTTTGTTGCATTACAACATGTAATTTAAATGGATATTTATTTGGATTTCATGTAATAGACATACACAAAATAGTCCAAATTGGTGAAGTGAAATGAAAAAAATTACTTTTTTCAAAATATTCAAAAAAAGTAATAATGGAAAAGTGGTGCGTGCATATGTATTCACCCCCTTTGCTATGAAGCCCCTAAATAAGATCTGGTGCAACCAATTACCTTCAGAAGTCACATAATTAGTTAAATAAAGTCCACCTGTGTGCAATCTAAGTGTCACATGATCTCAGTATATATACACCTGTTCTGAAAGGCCCCAGACTCTGCAACACCACTAAGCAAGGGGCACCACCAAGCAAGCGGCACCATGAAGACCAAGGAGCTCTCCAAACAGGTCAGGGACAAAGTTGTGGAGAAGTACAGATCAGGGTTGGGTTATAAAAAAATATCTGAAACTTTGAACATCCCACGGAGCACCATTAAATCCATTATTTAAAAAAATGGAAAGAATATGGCACCACAACAAACCTGCCAAGAGAGGGCCGCCCACCAAAACTCACGGACCAGGCAAGGAGGGCATTAATCAGAGGCAACAAAGAGACCAAAGATAACCCTGAAGGAGCTGTAAAGCTCCACAGCGGAGATTGGAGTATCTGTCCATGGGACCACTTTAAGCTGTACACTCCACAGAGCTGGGCTTTACGGAAGAGTGGCCAGAAAAAAGCCATTGCTTAAAGAAAAAAATAAGCAAACACGTTTGGTGTTCGCCAAACGCATGTGGGAGACTCCCCAAACATATGGAAGAAGGTACTCTGGTCAGATGAGACTAAAATTTTTATTTTTGGCCATCAAGGAAAACGCTATGTCTGGCGCAAACCCAACACCTCTCATCACCCGAGAACGCCATGGTGGTGGCAGCATCAGGCTGTGGGGATTTCTTTCCATTGGCAGGGACTGGGAAACTGGTCAGAATTGAAGGAATGATGGATGGCATTAAATACAGGGAAATTCTTGAGGGAAACCTGTTTCAGTCTTCCAGAGATTTGAGACTGGGACGGAGGTTCACCTTCCAGCAGGAAAATGACCCTAAGCATCCTGCTAAAGCAACACTTTAGTGGTTTAAGGGGAAACATTTAAAATGTCTTGGAATGGCCTAGTCAAAGCCCAGACCTCAATACAATTGAGAATCTGTGGTATGACTTAAAGATTGCTGTACACCAGTGGAACCCATCCAACTTGAAGGAGCTGAAGCAGTTTTGCCTTGAAGAATGGGCAAAAATCCCAGTGGCTAGATGTGCCAAGCTTATAGAGACATACCCCAAGAGACTTACAGCTGTAACTGCTGCAAAAGGTGACTCTACAAAGTATTGACCTTGGGGGTTGTGAATAGTTATGCACACTCAAGTTCTTTTTTCGGTCTTATTTCTTTGTTTGTTTCACACCAATAATATTTTGCATCTTCAAAGTGGTAGGCAGGTTGTGTAAATCAAATGATACAAAACCCAAAAAAATCCATTTGAATTCCAGGTTGTAAGGCAACAAAATAGGAAAAATGCCAAGGGGGGTGAATACTTTCGCAAGCCACTAAGTATGCATATTTGAGGACTTGTGTGCAAGTTTGAGTTGACATTATGTGTATCATCGTTGCATGTGATTCCAGTTGTGTGTGTGTATCATGCGTGTGTGTGTGTGTGTGTGTGTATGTGCAGCTGCTACATCAACACTCACTGTGTACAGAGAGCAGGCAGCAGAGATGGTGGAGACCCTCCTCCATCGCCTCCCTCTACGTTGGGTATGGTACCACAGGCTGCAGACTCCAGAGCTGCCCTGATCCTCCTCCCAGAGGTGCAGCCCAGGGAGCTGCTGAGGCGGTTCAGTCTCCTGGGTCCTAGTGCCCCTGGGCCCGGAGAAAAGTCCTCCACCACACAGGTACTGTACAGCTCCACACGGAGCTCAAAGCACGGGCTCGCCTCCTTACTGGATCATATACAGGAACCCACACACGTACACAGATGAATACAGCAACAAATATTAACAAAGAGACATGGACATAGTAAAATACAGAATTACACACAAATAACATCATTAAACTGAAGCAAATATTAAAACCACAGACAAAATGCTACATCATATGTTAGGTAGACAAAATGAGAGCAACTCGAGCAGCCACTTGCAATATGATGGTGTCCTCGAAGCAGATGTCAGTCAAAGTCCTGTCCACCATCACCAGGTCTGTGTCATAGATCTCTCTGCCACACTGGAGCAGACAGAACACAGCACAGCGATGCAGCTCTGAAAGAGAGCGAGAGCAAGAGAGAGAGAAGAGCAAGATAGATAGAGAAAGAATGGAGATGGATAGAGTGGGTGATGGGGAGGATGGAGTTTAGAGAAAGGAAGATGGGCAGAGAGAGCAGAAAGAAAACAGGACAGAGATGGCAGAAAAATAGTGAGAAGGTAGTGAGAGTAGGCTAGGTAAAAGTCCAATAACTTCAACTTTACAGGATTAACCCGTGTGACCTCTAAATCTGACCTGATTTCAGTTGTAGCTCTGAGAGGAGCCACGATTATACAAGTGTTTTTAGAAACAAACAGGAGGCGGTGCATAGCATGCGCTGACCCCACATGCACGAGTCATATCATCTGCATGGATTAGCCACGTAACTGGTTTAGACAGGATTATAGATTGAGACCTTGGATTTACTCCATCAATGGAATGTATGTACTCAGGCCACCCTGGTAGTGGTGGGAGAGCTATGACTCAAATGAAACTCTGATGAAGTACCGGCCGGGTACACTTAAATACAAATAGCCAATAGAGACTCAACTCTCTCAATATGCACCATTTGCATTCTAATCTAACCCTAGGGTTTCCAGTAGCTGTTCCATTCAATTCAAACATTATTGTTAGGAGCTAGATGCTATCAAGTGCTATTATTGCCTAATGTTGTTATTGGATGCGAGATGTTCATGACCGATGTCGAGGAGCACCGATTTAATCCCAAAGAATCCTGTGATTCTAGGCATGACCACATGATGTGTTGTCATGACAGGCTTAGTGACAGCACCATTAAAGTTATATGGGACTCACCTCCTTTGTTCTTGAAGTACTCTGAGTCTTTCCACATGAGTGGGATACGCAGGTCTAGAGTGGAAGAGGAAGAGGGGAGAATGGATGGATTGAGGAATAGAGGGACAGCGAGAGAGAGAATGAGCTATTTCTGTCAGATAGAGTATTCCTTCCTGTATCTGTTGGTGTCTGTGTGTGCATGTGTACACACTCACCTGAGATCGCCACATTACCCATGCAGGGCAGCCTCTCATCCAGTGACCCACCAATAGAGGACCTGCAGCGGAGAACAGAGTGGAGCTCATTTATCCTTCCATCTGTTCCTCCATTCACCCATCCATTTATTTATTTTCTAAATACATATGACAGCAAACCGCCCCCACCCACCCCCTCTCTCTCTCCTACCTGCGGCCTACTCTCTGCAGGACCTGGGCCTCCCTCATCCTCTGCAACTGGCTGAGCAGGGCCAGGATGCGGGTGTTGCAAGTGAGCAGGCTCTTGGAGGCCTCCAGGGCCTGGTCTCTCTGGGAGCACGCAGCCAGCAGCTTACTGGCCCCCTCACGCATCCGCACCTCGCGGTCTATCTGACGCTGCACCTCACCGTCCTGAGTGGTTCAGAGTGAGAGAGAGGAGAGAAGGAACGATAGGGAGAGAAAGATTAGAGAAAGGATAGAGATGGATAGAGTGGCTCAGCTCTGATTTACTAATCAACTACTATGGGATTGTGTACAGCTAAGTGACCCTTCCTCCACATTCAACAATGCCATATATAACTGTGAATCATACAACAGCTCTCAACACAACAGAAGTCAGAGGTCTTGGACCAGGCCCAGTCAGGAGGATGAGGGCAGTAAGGATCTATTCTGTCCTGCTTACCAGAAACCCTAGACAAACAAGCAGCTCGGTATTTCCACTTCAAAAAGCACATGAAATAGGATTGACACCCACCATCTCAGATTTTTCTGAAATTGTTTCTGTAGTTAGAAAAATATAAAATGAGCATTCCTGTTGGAATATAATCTGATCTCTGAGATATTAAGATAATTGATTGCTCCCAAATTGGCCATTTTAATTTATAGGATTCATATAATATTCAATAAATATAGTACCTAACATTCGATTTGGGCCAAACCTTTTCTTTACAATCAATAAGACATGAGGAATCCCAAAAAAGTAAAAAGCCTCCCACGGAAGCCCCACACCCCCGCCTATCCCACCCCAACAAGTACACAGTATCAGTTCTCTATGTCTGACAAGTAGTATGGAGCTGCAGCTCTGACTATTGTTTCTTCATGTTATGTAATGTATTCCCAGTGAATGTGGTGATGTTTTTTCCAACTGTTCAGAGAAATGTGTCTTTGAAGTAGTTAGATTTATGTCCCATCAGACATCCTGATATTACCAGGTTCTGACCCCTAGATGATGCCATTCCTGCTATTAGGTGAAAAGTGTGAAACATTTCCTGGGTATACAACGTCATTTAAGTCATAAGAGTGATCTTGTCCCAGTTTTCTGCATCAGGGTCATCCTGCAGCCCACTAAGAGTTGGATTGTGATATCATCACTTTCAGCAGTTTCCCCCTAAAACATTTGGCATATTTGTTGTTAGGAAGATCGGTCCAAATAGGATGTTTGGTACTATATTTATTGGCCATGACCCCACTGTCTGAGGGTGTCTCAGAGGGAGTTGGGATATGCAAAAAACATATTTCCAATTCACATGTGTATAATACACACTTGTACATGTGTGAAATAGGACAAATAAGTACCCACCAAATAATAATAAGTATTATTATTATTACTACTACTACACTGAACAACAATATAAATGCAACATGTAAAGTGTTGGTCCCATGTTTCATGAGCTGAAATAAAAAATCCCAGACATTTTCCATATGCACAAAAAGCTTATTTCTCTTAAGTTTTGTGCTATTTATTTACATCCCTGTTAGTGAGCATTTCTCCTTTGCCAAGATAATCCATCCACCTGACTGGTGTGGCATATCAAGAAGCTGATTAAACAGCATGATCATTACACAGGTGCACCTTGTGCTGAGGACAATAAAAGGCCACTCTAAAATGTGCAGTTTTGTCACACAACACAATGCCACAGATGTCTCAAGTTGAGGGAGGGTGCAATTGTCATGCTGACTGCAGGAATGTCCACTCTGAAAGACCCGGTCAAAATAGCATCTTGGGTTAAACAGACAATCTGTGATTACCATTTGTACATACACTACCAGTCAAAAGTTTGGACACACCTACTCATTCAAGGGTTTTTCATTATTTTTACCATTTTCTACATTGTAGAATAATAGTGAAGACATCAAAACTATGAAATAACACATATGGAATCATGTAGTAACCCAAAAAGTGTTAAACAAATCAAAATATATTTTATATTTGAGATTCTTCAAATAGCCACCCTTTGCCTTGATGACAGCTTTGCACACTCTTGGCATTCTCTCAACCAGCTTCATGAGGTAGTCACCTGGAATGCATTTCAATTAACAGGTGTGCCTTGTTAAAAGTTAATTTGTGGAATTTCTTTCCTTAATGCGTTTGAGCCAATCAGTTGTGTTGTGACAAGGTAGGGGGGTATACAGAAGATAGCCCTATTTGGTAAAAGACCAAGTCCATATTATGTCAAGAACAGCTCAAATAAGCAAAGAGAAACGACAGTCCATCATTACTTAAGACATGAAGGTCAGTCAATACGGAACATTTCAAGAACTTTGAACGTTTCTTCAAGTGCAGTCGCAAAAACCATCAAGCGCTATGATGAAACAGGCTCTCATGAGGACCGCCACAGGAATGGAATACCCAGAGTTACCTCTGCTGCAGAGGATAAGTTAATTAGAGATACCAGCCTCAGAAATTGCAGCCCAAATAAATGTTCCTTCTTTTAGAAACTTTCATGGCCCAGTTCCAGCATTTCCAAATCATACAACAAATGAGGGCATTTTTGTCAGTATTATTTCTCTCAAATGTTGGCAAAAATGTGTTTACATCCCTGTTAGTGAGAATTTCTCCTTTGCCAAGATAATCCATCCACCTGACATGCGTGGCATATCAAGAAGCTGATTAAACGGCATGATCATTACACAGGTGCACCTTGTGCCGGGGACAATAAAAGGCCACTTAAAAATGTGCAGTTTTGTCACACAACACAATGCCACAGATGTCTCAAGTTTTGAGGGAGTGTGCAATTGGCATGCTGACTGCAGGAATGTCCACCAGAGCTGTTGCCAGAGAAAAATGTTCAACATCATTTTAGAGAATTTGGCAGTACATTCAACCGGCCTCGCAACAGCAGAACAAGTGTAACCATGCCAACCCAGGACCTCCACATCAGTCTTCTTCAACTGCAGGATCGTCTGAGACCAGCCACCCAGACAGCTGATGAAACTGTTGGTTTGCATAACCGAAGTATTTCTCCACAAACTGTCAGAAACCATCCCAGGGAAGTTTATCTGCGTGCTCTTCGTCCTCACCAGGGTCTTGACCTGACTGCAGTTTGGCGTCATAACCGACTTCAGTGGGCAAATGCTCAACATCGATGGACAATGGCACGCTGGAGGTGTGCTCTTCACAGATGAATCCCGGTTTCAACTATACCAGGCAGATGGCAGACAGCATGTATGGGGTTGTGTGGATGAGCAGTTTGCTGATGTCAACGTTGTGAACAGAGTGCTTCATTGTGGCGGTGGGGTTATGGTATTGGCAGGCATGAGCTACGCAATTTGAATGCACAGAGATACTGTGACGAGATCCTGAGGCCCATTGTCGTGCCATTCATCCACCGCAATCATCTTATGTTTCAGCATGATAATGCATGGCCCCATATCGCAATGATCTGTACACAATTCCTGGAAGCTGAAAATGTTCCAGTTCTTCCATGGCCTGCATCCTCACCAGACATGTCACCCATTGAGCATGTTTGGTATGCTCTGGAACAACATTTACAACAGCATGTTCCAGTTCCCAACAATATCCACAACTTTGCACAGCCATTGAAGAATAGTGGGGCAACATTCCACAGGCCACAATCAACAGCGATCAACTCTATGCAAAGGAGATGTGTCGCGCTGCATGAAGCAAATGGTGGTTACACCAGATACTGACTGGTTTTCTGATCCACGACCAACAGATGCATATCTTTATTCCCAGTCATGTGAAATCCATAGATAAGGCATTCATTAATTTATTTAAATTGACTGATTTCAATATATGAACTGTAACTCAGTAGAATCTCTGAAATTGTTGCATTTTGAGTGTATATTTTTGTTCAGGGTATTATAATTGTTGAATATTATATGAATCCTATAAATTAAAATTGCCAATTTGGGTGCAATGAATTAGCTGAATTATATTTCAGCAAAATAATGTTGCAGGAATGTTAATCTTATCTGTGGTGGGTGTCATGGCTTGCTGAAATGACATGGAACAACCCAGCTAAAGTATCAGGGTTTGGGGGAGGGGGGGGGGGGGGGCATTGGTACCAGGCAGGATAAATTAATCAGATCAAACTGCCAAAACAATACCTTGTGGTACAAAATGTGCTCACATTATCTAGCCATGTGACTTATGCTGTATTGTTTTAGGTTTTGTTGCAGCATTGGTTTAACTCTACACACATTCAAGCCAGGTTAAGATTGGAGGAGATTAATGATCATGCTTTGTGCTGCTACGTCATTTAATTCAAGTATTTTTTACCATAACCCTCAATGGTATGTTATGTTTCTGTAAGCATGGATAGATCCCATTAACCTTCAGTTCAGTGTAACTTCTATGCTCCCTTCGAGGCAAGCATCACTGAAGCATGCATGAGAGCACCAGCTGTTCCGGATGACTATGTGATCACGCTCACCGTAGCCGATGTGAGTAAGACTTTTAAGCAGGTCAACATTCAAAAGGCCGCAGGGCCAGACGGATTACCAGGACATGTACTCCAAGCATGTGCTGACCAACTGGCAAGTGTCTTCACTGACATTTTCAACATGTCCCTGACTGAGTCTATAATACCAACATGTTCCAAGCAGACCACCATAGTCCCCGTGCCCAAGGACACTAAGAACCTGCCTAAATGACTACCGACCCGTAGCACTGACGTCTGTAGCCATGAAGTTCTTTGAAAGGCTGGTCATGGCTCACATCAACACCATTCTCCCAGAAACCCTAGACCCAACTTAATTTGCATACCGCCACAACAGATCCACAGATTATGCAATCTCTATTGCACTCCACACTGCCCTTTCCCACCTGGACAAGAGGAACACCTACGTGAGAATGCTATTCATTGACTACAGCTCAGTGTTCAATACCATAGTGCCCTCAAAGCTCATCAATAAGCTAAGGATCCTGGGACTAAACACCTCCCTCTGCAACTGGATCCTGGACTTCCTGACGGGCCGCCTCCAGGTGGTAAGGGTGGGTAACAACACATCTGCCACGCTGATCCTCAACACGGGGGCCCCTCAGGGGTGCGTGCTCAGTCCCCTCCTGTACTCCCTGTTCACCCATGACTGCATGGCCAGGCACGACTCCAACACCATCATTAAGTTTGCCGACGACACAACAGTGGTAGGCCTGATCACCGACAACGATGAGACAGCCTATAGGGAGGAGGACAGAGACCTGGCCGTGTGGTGCCAGGATAACAACCTCTCCCTCAACGCCCCCATTCTCATCGACGGGGCTGTAGTGGTACAGGTTGAGAGCTTCAAGTTCCTTGGTGTCCACATCACCAATGAACTATCATGGTCCAAACACACCAAGACAGTCGTGAAGAGGGCACGACAAAGCCTATTCCCCCTTAGGAGACTGAAAACATTTGGCATGGGTCCTCAGATCCTCAAAAAGTTATACAGCTGCAACACCGAGAGCATCCTGACTGGTTGCATCTCCGCCTGGTATGGCAACTGCTCGGCCTCCGACGGCAAGGCACTACAGAGGGTAGTGCATACGGCCCAGTACTTCACTGGGGCCAAGCTTCCTGCCATCCAGGACCTCTATACCAGGCGGTGTCAGAGGAAGGCCCTCAAAATTGTCAAAGACTCCAGCCACACTAGTCATAGACTGTTCTCTCTGCTACCGCACGGCAAGCGGTACCGGAGCGCCAAGTCTAGGTCCAAAAGGCTTCTCAACAGCTTCTACCCCCAAGCCATAAGACTCCTGAACAGCTAATCATGGCTACCCGGACTATTTGCATTGCCCCCACCCCATCTTTTTATGCTGCTGGTACTCTTAATTATTTATGCATAGTCACTTTAACTCTACCCACATGTACATATTACCTCAACTAGCCGGTGCCCCTGCACATTGACTCTGCACCGGTACCCCCCTGTATATAGCCTCCCTACTGTTATTTTATTTTACTTCTGCTCTTTTTTTCCCCTCAACACTTTTTTGTTGTTGTTGTTTTATTTTACTTTTTTATGAAACAATAAATGCATTGTTGGTTAAGGGCTGTAAGTAAGCATTTCACGGTAATGTCTACACCTGTTGTATTCGGCGCATGTGGCAAATAAAATTAGATTTGATTTGATTGATCAACAAAATCCCCATGTGACAGTAATAAAGTCTACAAATAATTTGTCCAAGCATATCCAAATGAACTGTGTCATGTCTGACGTCTCTTCCCTCTAACATCTAACAGTTCCCTACCAGGATGTAGCACACCTGACAAAGAGTCCCTGATTACCATATCTGTACAGAAACATAAGAAACATAATTATTCCTATCCAGACCCAATTTGCCTTCTAATAGGTGTCTACACAGCCCAAACTCCAACTAGACTCCATATTCCTTCCAATACATTAATCAGATTCTTCACGATTGATGTACATACATAAATACATGATCCTAAATACATGATGATGGGCGCTCCTGACAAAGATTGTATTAGTATATTCACGCATGTACACCATATATTACAAGCATCCTTACGCAACGACCAAGCTACCCCTTAGTAAAAAGGTCCTTAGTAAAAAGGTCTGGTGCTGCCACTGTACCAACACTGTTCTGTACACTCACCTGGTCATTTTCAAAGATGTTCATGTTCCTCAGTCCCTCATAAAGCTCCACTCTCTACTTTATGAATGACTTCACCAGTGTTATAATACAGAGCATCCAGTACAGTCTAGTTTCGGAGTTATTAAAGCTACAGTCAGTCAGCCAGAGAGACGAGAGAAGGTCCAGTCAACAGGGAGTGGAGGCAGGGATTTTAAATGGATTAGTATGCCTTGTTATTTCAAGTCCCAGACTAGTCCCACCTCTGGGAAGATTAACGTAATACCTGGATGAGCTTTACGTGACAACATGTAATATACAGGCTATAGTCATATGTCATATAAACAGATATCTTAACACCATATGCAGCTCTGACTTATTGTCAGCATGCAGATTTTATCATGGCTCAGACTGGTAGTATTATTCAACTATTTGCATGTACTGTACTGTAATATGCCTTAGTACATTTGAGAAAACAGTGCCCTCTCCTGGACTGTTTTGTACTATATCCAATGGCCTTTCTTACAGTTGTTCATAGAGCACATGGTTACGGACCTCAGATATTGACTATGCATAGTGTGACAGCATTGTCAAATCTATTCAGCTCCAGAGGGGGAGGGTTGGGGCCAATAATGTATAAAGGGTTTGGACTGCCTAGTGGGTTACTAGTCAGTAAAAACCCAATGAAATAATGTCCAATCTGATGTTGGGAGCTGCAGCACTACATAGAGGTGTTAATGTGTGGTAGAGCTAGTTCACTCTGGCCTACTGATCTTAGGTCAGTCAACTGCACAGGAGGACAGGTCAGGGATTATTTTAGCCGTTGATCATGACTCTCTGTTCCATTACATTACACACAAGAGTCATTGGACAAAGACGTCTTCTGTACGGGGGAGTTTTGTTAAGAGCCGCAACGCTCGGTCTGAACATTAACACGCACTGCTTGCGGTATGGTTTTGGAAGCATAAGGACCATACCTTTCATATCAGCAAGCAATCATTTTCAAAAACGAAAGGTTAAACTGATACACACCTTAATATGGTTAGGGTTCCAACACAGCCATATTTCCATGTTTGAGCGCTTGTTTATGGAAAACAGATGGAAGACAGAGTGGACTACCTGTGCTAATTAGCTAGCTATCTGAGTCTCCAAACACCTGTGTGTAAACGGAAGGCAGACACCACAAACGTGTTGTCACCGAAAAATACTGTCTGCGGTGAAACCAGTTAAAACAGTGTACAGTAAGTGTATATTTTGCATCTGTGAAATTATTTTGATGTGATATGAAGGTAGAGGGACTTGTTTTGAGAACCGTACAGCAATTGGATGGAGTATTTGGCTGTTTTGGCTTCCAGAGCCAACTCTCCCTTTAAACAGAACATGTAAGGTCCTTGGACTAAGGAGTAACGTTAGGCTCCTTTAGTCCAATATTGGGCTAGGATTATCTATGATCCACGCAAAACCTCTGGATGAGTGGTTCCCATATGTTTTCTCATACTGTAGTTTTCAGCTACATTTGAACCAAACCAATGTTCTTAACCAAGACCCATGTCTTAAGCCGTGACCCAAAAATAATTGAGCCAGCAACCAACTTGTGGACATTACACATGGACGGTCATGATTTGGTCAATATTAGGCTTACTACACAGGAGGATACAGGGTAGTTTCCCCAATCGCAGGCCACGACCCACTGAGCAGTATCCAAGGAAAACCCCACGCTGCACTCAGACAGAACAGTCATTGTTTGAGACTGACCGCATAGTTATAGAATTAACAGAAGTTATGGATCACTCATTCACTGTGACAAATCTACACACTGGAGCTGTCTGGACTTGCGTCACTTGAGCAATGATAGAGTCACCGTCTGGTCTGGTCTGCTCTCCTCCCACTCCCTGGCGTTAGGTCAGGTGTGTGTCTGTGTGTGTGTGTGTGTGTGTGTTGGGGTGTCAACTCTTCCTCTCCCATCTTCTCTCTATATCTCCTTCTCCCCTCCGTCTATTCTTCAATTCACCTGCAGATGCCCCTTGGTCTAGTCTTGGTTGGTGACTTTATAATGTAATCAGTTGATTCTGTGAGTCTGAAAAAACATTCCACATTTTTATGCATCTAATAAAAGTGTTAAATGAGTCTGATAAGAAATCTGGCTGTGCCAAGTATACAGAGTAGAGGGCAAAGAGCTCGGATAAAGAATGCCATCATGTCAGAGTAAATGCTTGTGAAAGGGTTGCATTTCCCATGGGAGGGAAGAATGGGGAGAAAGATAATCTGTATATTAACTATATATTATTTCAATAATCTTATCACCTCTTATTAGTGACTTAAGGAGTTTCTGTTACATAATTTGAAGGCCAGGAAGCAATATGTACATTCCAACTAGATTACTCATGCATGAGTCATTTCACGAGTCCTGAGAATCATTTAGGTTTTTGGTCATTTCCTGTGTGCTATGGCATTGTATCAAGGGAAAAAAGTGTTATCATTAAAGGGGCAATCCGCATTTGCTACATACATTTTTGGGGGACTTATAAATGAATGATATACACTAATTGATTCTTGAAGAATGTTCCTTATAAATACCTCCTGAGCTAAGTTCAACTGTCATACCCCATCAGAGCTATAACTTTGATATATTGGATGGTCAGTCCTTTCATCAATACCGCTGTCTATGAATTTATGAGTGTAACATTTCTCCAGGCCCATCCCTGAGTTTTTTTAATTACCAAAACAGGGGCGGGGTGCACTTTGTTATTGTTTCAAATGCGAGTTGCCCCTTTACGCTATAGTTGTCATGAACAGAGCACATTACTTATTTCAAATAGCCTGATTATGGTGATCCAATTTATCATAGAGAACCCAAATACACCGTATCAACAGCAGAAAACAGGAAAATATGGTATAATGCACTCTCACAGGCCGGGAGGATCGCTTTGTGTGGCGAAACGTTACCTCTCCACTCACCTGTGCCGTTTCCGTAAGAGTGTTGAAATGCCCACGTCGTCGTATTTCCAGATCCAATGCTGATCCCCTTGCTATCGTGGTTCTCGACACCTGATTTCGGCAAAACATTGTAATAGCCTACCATGTACAGTTACAAGTTCAAAGGAATCTTGAAAAGCTATGTCAATTGGTAGCCTTAAAACGATAACGATTCGCACTATGACTACTGTTTTATAGTAGAAGCTATCGAGAAATGAATAAAATATTCGAGAAGTTGTAGTAAGTATTTTATCGTCGTGTTCGTACAACAATCGGCCAGGTTTGAGGTTGGGTTGGGTTGGGGGCGAGAAGGAGGATAACTCTTCTTCTTCTTTGGTACCATGGCGTTCGCACATTTGTTTGTGCATGCCGCCACCTACTGATCACGTTACACTTTGTAATAATAAAATAAAATGGAAGGGGGAAAATAAAAATAATTGCACTACCATCTAACCCTACACCTATATACCACTATTTTAAATAAATAATAATAATAATTACAAATAAAATACAATAAAAAAAAAAAACATTCCACTACTTTGACCCTAACTGATCCTACACCAACCTGACGGCCTGGGAGGATGGGACTCTTTCGATCAACACACCTTGTAACTCTGCAGTAAAACCTCATACACCCAAGTACTTCTCTGCAGCTGCCATCACCACATCTATTCTCTTTGATTTACATTCCATTGCTGCGGTACAGTTGATAACCATAGCAATGAATGCTAAGGAGCCAACCTTACTGAAGCACAAATTTGTATCACTCTGTATTGGCCTAGGACTACTACTCACCCTTGACCCATCATCCTCTACTCTCTTCATTGCCTCAGCATACGACACCTTCTGTTCTACTCTGACCCTGGCAACCTCAACCTGTCTCTCTCAAACTGGACACTTCTGATCCCCAGCAACATGGGCACCCCCACAACTGACACACACAGTTGTTTCTACCGATACTACACATTCCTTTTTCCCATGCCCTCATGCACACTTCTCACATCTCGGAATCTTCCTACACACTGCTGCAACATGACCATATGCTTAGCATCTAAAACACCTTAGTGGGTTCGGCATAAAAGCTCTCACGGGATAACTGAAATATCCTTCCAGAGAGACATCAGGGACTGTAACATACTCTGTTTCACGGAATCATGGCTCTCTCCCCATCCATACAGTCAGCTGGGTTCTCAGTACATCGCGCAGACAGGAATAAAGAACTCTCAGAGAAGAAGAAAGGCGGTGGTGTATGTTTCATGATTAACTACTCATGGTGTGATTGTGATAACGTACAGGAACTCAAGTCCTTTTGTTCACCCGACCTAGACTACCTCACAATTAAATGCCAACCGTACTACCTTCCAAGATAATTATCTTTGGTTATAGTCACAGTCGTGTATATTCCCCCTCAAGCCGATACCACGACGGCCCTCAAGGAACTACACTGGACTTTGTGCAAACTGGAAATAACATATCCTGAGGCCACATTTATTGTAGCTGGGGATATTGTAGCTACTGAAGTTCTATCAACACATTGCCTGCAGTACTCGCCCTTCAAAAACTCTCAACCATTGTTACTGCCCCTTCCGGGATGGCTACAAGGCCCTCCCCCGCCTTCCCTTCGGCAAATCAGATCACGACTCCATTCTGCTACTCCATTCCTATAGGCAGGAACTCAAACAGGAAGTACCCGAGCTAAGGTCTATTCAACGCTGGTCTGACCAATAGGAATCCATGCTTCAAGATTGTTTTGATCACGCGGACTGGGATATATTCCGGGTTGCCTCTGAGAATAACATTGACGTATATGTGGACACGGTGACTGAGTTAATCAGGAAGTGTATAGGGGATGTTGTTCCCACTGTGACTATTAAAACCTACCCAAACCAAAAAACGTGGATGGATGGCAGCATTTGCACATAACTGAAATCGCAAACCACCGCATTTAACCACAGCAAGGTGATTGGGAATATGGTTAACAGATTACAAAGGGTTAACCAGCCACATCACGGACACCGGCATCTTGCTCCAGGACAAGCTAAACACGTTCTTCGCCTGCTTTGAGGATAACACAGTGCCACCAACGTGGCCCGCTCCCAAGGACTGTGGGCTCTCGCCGAGGTGAATAAGACATTTAACCGTGTTAACCCTCGCAAGGCTGCCGGCCCAGACAGCATCCCTAGCCGCGTCCTCAGAGCATGCGCTGACCAGCTGGCTGGAATGTTTACGGACATATTCAATCTCTCCCTATCCCAGTCTGCTGTCCCACTTGCTTCAAGATGTCCACCATTGTTCCTGTACCCAAGAAAGCAAAGGTAACTGAACTAAATGACTATCTCTCCGTAGCACTCACTTCTGTCATCATGAAGTGATTTGAGAGGCTAGTTAAGGATCATGTCACCTCCACCTTACCGGACACCCTAGACCCACTCAATTTGCATACCGCCCCAATAGATCCATAGACGATGCAATCGCCATCACACTGCACACTGCCCTATCCCACCTGGACAAGAGGAATACCTATGTAGGAATGCTGTTCATTGACTATAGCTCAGCCTTCAACACCATAGTACCCTCCACGCTCATCATTAAGCTCGGGGCCCTGGGTTTGAACCCCGCCCTGTGCAACTGGGTCCTGGACTTCCTGACAGGCCGCCCCCAGGTGGTGAAGGTAGGAAACAACACCTCCACTACACTGATCCTTAACACATGGGCCCGACTAGGGTGCGTGCTCAGCCCCCTCCTGTACTCTTTGTTCACCCATGACTGAGTGGCCACGCATGCCTCCAACTCAATCATCAAGTTTGCAGACGACACAACAGTAGTAGGCCTGATTACCAACAATGACGAAACAGCCTACAGGGAGGAGGTGAGGGCGCTGGCGGAGTGGTGCCAGGAAAATAACCTCTCCCTCAATGTCAACAAAACAAAGGAGCTGATATTGGACTTCAGGAGACAGCAGAGGGAGCACGCCCCTATCCACATCGACGGGACTGCAGTGGAGACGGTGAAAAGCTTCAAGTTCCTCGGCGTAGACATCAGTGACAACCTGAAATGGTCCACCTACACAGACAGTGTGGTGAAGAAGGCGCAACAGAGCCTCTTCAACCTCAGGAGGCTGAAGAAATTCGGCTTGGCCATTAAGACCATCACAAACTTTTACAGATGCACAATTAAGAGCATCCTGTCGGGCTGTATCACCACCTGGTACGGCAACTGCACCGCCCGCAACCGCAGGGCTCTCCAGAGGGTGATGCGGTCTGCCCAACGCATCGCCGGGGGCACACTGCCTGCCCTCCAGGACACCTACAGCACTCGATGTCACAGGAATGCCAAAAGGATCATCAAGGACATCAACCACCCGAGCCACGGTCTGTTCACTCCGCTATCATCCAGAAGGTGAGGTCAGTACAGGTGCATCAAAGCTGAGACCGAGAGACTGAAAAACAGCTTCTATCTCAAGGCCATCAGACTGTTAAATAGCCATCACTAGCCGGCTACCATCCGGTTACTCAACCCTGCACCTTAGAGGCTGCTGCTATATGTACGTAGACATGGAATCACTGGTCACTTTAATAATGGAACACTAGTTGCTTTAATAATGTTTACATACGGTTTACTCATTTCATACTGTATGTGTATACTCTATTCTACTGTATTTTAGTCAATGCCACTCCGACATTGCTCATCCTAATATTCATATATTTCTTAATTCCATTATTTTACTTTTAGATGTGTTTGTATTGTTGTGAATTGTTAGATACTACTGCACTGTTGTAGCTAGCAACACAAGCATTTCACTACACCCACAATAACATCTGCTAAATATGTGAATGTGACCAGTAAAATTTGATTTGATATCCTAACATGACTTTGTTGTCACAACGGCTGATGTAGATGTGGTGAAGTCAAACGCAGACACAGAAGCTAAGTCCAATACTTTACTGAACACGACCAAAAATATACAAAACACTGGCCTCCAAACAAACAAGAGGCGGACAATGCGCAACAATGTGCAAAAGGCTAGTATCCCAAGGCGCACGAAAACAGTACAGTGCGACGACAGGGAAAACAACTAACAACGAGCCGACCTGATGACAGGCGAACAATAACACACAACACAAGACTAACCAAACGAGAAACTTATAGGAGACATAATTAACCAAACAGGAAACAGGTGTACACAATCAGACAAAACCAAACAGACATCGAAAACATCAAACGGTGATAGCTAGTACTCCGGGGACGACGACCGCCGAAGCCTGCCCGAACAAGGAGGCGGAGCAGCCTCGGCCGAAACCGTGACAGTACCCCCCCGTTGACGCGCGGCTCCAGCCGTGCGCCGACCCTGGCCTCGGGGACGACCAGGAGGACGCGGAGCAGGGCGCGTAGGGTGTCCACGGTGGAACTCCGTCAGGAGAGACGGGTCTAGGATGTCTCTCCTCGGCACCCAGCACCGCTCCTCCGGACCGTACCCCTCCCACTCCACGAGATATTGGAGACCCCCCATCCGACGTCTCGAATCCAAGAGGGACCGAACTGTGTACGCCGGAGCCCCCTCGATGTCCAGTGGGGGCGGAGGAGTCTCTCTTATCTCATCGTCCTGGAGTGGACCAGCTACCACCGGCCTGAGAAGAGACACATGGAACGAGGGGTTAATATTCTTATAATCAATAGGCAGTTGTAACCTGTAACACACCTCGTTCAATCTTCTCAGGACTTTAAAGGGCCCCACAAACCGCCGACCCAGTTTCCGGCAGGGCAGGCGGAGGGGTAGGTTTCTGGTAGAGAGCCAGACTCGATCACCAGGTGCGTACACCGGCCCCTCACTGCGGTGGAGATCGGCACTCGCTTTCTGACGACGGATGGCCTGCTGCAAGTGGACGTGTGCAGCGTTCCACGTCTCCTCTGAGCGCCGCACCCACTCATCCACCGCAGGAGCCTCGATCGGGCTCTGCTGCCACGGTGCCAGAACCGGCTGGTAACCTAACACACATTGGAAAGGGGTTAGATTGGTTGAGGAGTGGCGGAGAGAGTTCTGGGCCATCTCCGCCCAGGGTACATACCTCGCCCACTCCTCCGGCCGGCCCTGGCAATACGATCTAAGAAACCTACCCACATCCTGGTTCACACGTTCCACCTGCCCATTACTCTCCGGGTGGTAACCCGAGGTCAGGCTCACCGAGACCCCCAAACGCTCCATAAACGCCCTCCAGACTCTGGAGGTAAACTGGGGACCTCGATCAGACACTATATCCTCGGGTACCCCGTAGTGCCGGAACACGTGGGTGAATAGTGCTTCGGCGGTCTGTAGGGCAGTAGGAAGACCTGGCATTGGGAGCAGACGACAGGCCTTAGAGAACCGATCCACAACGACCAGTATAGTAGTATTCCCCTGTGAGGGGGGAAGGTCTGTGACGAAATCCACCGAGAGGTGAGACCATTGTCGTTGTGGAACGGGCAGGGGTTGTAACTTTCCCCTGGGCAGGTGTCTAGGCGCCTTACACTGGGCGCACACCGAGCAGGAGGAGACATAAACCCTCACATCCCTGGCTAACGTTGGCCACCAGTACTTAGCGCTAAGGCAGTGCACAGTCCGGCCAATACCAGGATGTCCAGAGGAGAGTGACGTGTGAGCCCAATATATCAGTCGATCCCGAACCTTGAGCGGAACGTACGTCCGACCCACCGGGCACTGTGGAGGACTAGGGTCGGTACGCAACGCCCGCTCGATTTCAGCATCGACCTCCCACACTACCGGTGCCACCAGACAAGACTCTGGCAGTATGGGAGTGGGCTCAACGGACCTCTCCTCTGTGTCATACCGCCGAGACAGTGCGTCTGCCTTACCATTCTGGGACCCAGGGATGTACGTGATCTTAAATACGAACCGGGCTAAAAACATGTTCCACCGCGCCTGGCGAGGGTTCAATCTCCTAGCTGCCCGGATGTACTCCAGGTTACGGTGGTCAGTCAAAATGAGAAAAGGGTGTTGAGCCCCCTCAAGCCAATGCCTCCACACCTTTAGGGCCTGTACCACGGCTAACAGCTCCCTGTCCCCTACGTCATAATTTCGCTCCACCGGGCTGAGCTTTTTGGAGTAAAAAGCACAGGGGCGGAGTTTAGGTGGCGTGCCGGACCGTTGCGAAAGTACGGCCCCAATACCGGCCTCTGACGCGTCAACCTCTACCTGAAATGGTAAAGCGGGATCCGGATGCGCCAGCACCGGAGCCGAAGTAAACAGGTCCTTCAGTCTCCCAAAAGCCCTGTCCGCCTCGGCTGACCACTGCAAACGCACCGGACCCCCCTTCAACAGAGACGTTATGGGAGCTGCCACCTGTCCAAAACCCCGGATAATCCTCCGGTAGTAATTTGCAAACCCCAAAAAACCGCTGCACCTCTTTAACAGTGGTTGGAGTTTGCCAATTACGCACGGCTGACACTCGGTCAACCTCCATCTTCACCCCTGACGCAGACAACTGATAACCCAAAAAGGAGATCGACTCCTGGAAAAACAGACATTTCTCTGCCTTGACATACAGGTCGTGCTCCAACAGCCTCCTCAACACTCGGCGCACCAGGGCTACATGCTCGGCTCGGGTAGAAGAGTACACAAGAATGTCATCAATGTACACGACCACACCCTGCCCCTGCATGTCCCTGAAGATCTCATCTACGAAGGATTGGAAGACTGAAGGAGCGTTCATCAACCCGTATGGCATGACGAGATACTCGTAATGACCTGAGGTGGTACTAAATGCTGTCTTCCATTCATCGCCCCCTCTAATGCGCACCAAGTTGTATGCGCTCCTGAGATCTAGTTTTGTGAAGAAACGCGCCCCGTGCAATGACTCCGTCATAGTCGCAATCGGCGGGAGTGGATAACTGTATTTCACCGTGATCTGATTGAGACTACGGTAATCAATGAACGGGCGCAAACCTCCATCCTTCTTCTTCACAAAAAAGAAGCTTGAGGACGCAGGGGAAGTGGATGGCCGTATGTATCCTTGTCTCAGAGATTTGGCTATGTAAGTCTCCATAGCTCTCTTCTCCTCTTGAGACAGAGGATACACATGGCTCCGTGGAAGCGCTGCTCCTGCCTGGAGGTCTATCGCACAATCTCCCTGCCTATGAGGAGGCAACTGCGTCGCCCTCGATTTACTGAACACGATTGCCAAATCCTCATACTCAGGGGGAATGTGCAGTGCGGGCACCTGGTTTGGACTCTCCACCGAGGTCGCCCCCACGGAAACACCTAGACATCGCCCCACACACTGGGCAGACCACTCCTTAAGAGCCCTCTGTTGCCACGAAATAGAAGGATTATGGGTAATCAACCAGGGAAGCCCCAACACCACCGGATACGCAGGAGAGTCAATCAGATATAGCTGAATAGTTTCCTCATGACCCCCCTGCGTCCTCATCCTAAGTGGCGCTGTGACCTCCCTAATCAACCCCGATCCCAAGGGACGGCTGTCTAAAGCATGGACAGGAAATGGGGCGTCGACTGGAAGAAGGGGAATTCCTAGTTTTAAACAAAAATGTCGATCAACAAAATTCCCAGCTGCGCCTGAATCTACTAGCGCCTTATGCTGGGAATGAGGTGCAACCTGTGGAAAATGTACAGGTAAACAGACGTGCACAACAGAGAGCTCTGGGTAAGTGGGACGCCTACTCACCTGGAATGACTCCCAGTGCGTGGCCGGTCGTCCTCTCCCCTAGGAGACCCTCCCCAGCACCGAGCCGCAGTGTGCCCTCCACGGCCACAGTTGGTGCAGGGAACAGCCCCCCTCGGGCTCCTCCTCCTCCTCTCTCTAGCGCCAGCACCTCAGAGCTCCATAGGGCTCGGCTCGGAGGTGCTGGAGGGTGGAATGGACGACCCCCACTCGGTGCGTCCGCGGGTAGCCAGCAGGGTGTCAAGCCGGATGGACATGTCCACCAGCTGGTCGAAGGTAAGATGGGAATCCCTGCAGGCCAACTCTCGACGGACGTCCTCCCGTAGACTACATCAGTAGTGGTCGATGAGGGCCCGCTCATTCCACCCTGCATCCGCTGCTAGAGTCCGGAACTCCAGGGCGAACTCCTGTGCGCTCCTCCTCCCCTGTTGAAGCAGACGCTCCCCCGCCGCCTTCCCCTCTGGTGGATGGTCGAACACGGCCCTGAAGCGGCGGGAGAACTCCCCGTAGGTGATGGGGGCGGCGTCAATTCCCCTCCATTCGGCGTTAGCCCACTCTAACGCCTTGCCGGTGAGACAGGAGATGAGGGCGGAGACGCTCTCGTATCCCGAGGGCGCCGGGTGTATGGTGGCCTGGTAGAGTTCCACCTGCAGGAGGAACCCCTGACATCCGGCTGCGGTACCATCATATGCCCTCGGGAGCGAGAGCCGAATACCGCTGAGTTCCGGTGCTGGAAGAGGAGGACTGGTCGATGTTGATGGTAAGGTGTGCGGAGGTGTGGGCACCTCTCTGGTGACCAAACGGTGCAGAGTGTTCGCCACCTCGTTCATGGCGGCCACAAGTCGCCAGATCATGGTGTCTTGATGGCTGATCCGTTCCTCCAGCGACTTGGGTGCCGCCGCTGCTTCTGCTGACTCCATGGTGGTGTGTTATTCTGTCACAACGGCTGATGTAGATGTGGTGAAGTCAAACGCAGACACAGAAGCTAAGTCCAATACTTTACTGAACACGACCAAAAATATACAAAACACTGGCCACCAAACAAACAAGAGGCGGACGATGCGCAACAATGCGCAAAAGGCTAGTATCCCAAGGTGCACGAAAACAGTACAGTGCGACGACAGGGAAAACAACAAACAAACAACGAGCCGACCTGATGACAGGCGAACAATAACACACAACACAAGACTAACCAAACGAGAAACTTATAGGAGACATAATTAACCAAACAGGAAACAGGTGTACACAATCAGACAAAACCAAACAGACATCGAAAACATCAAACGGTGATAGCTAGTACTCCGGGGACGACGACCGCCGAAGCCTGCCCGAACAAGGAGGAGCAGCCTCGGCCGAAACCGTGACATTTGTCAGGTAAAGACTGTTTCAAAACTCGAAAAGACAGACAGTGTCTTCTCAGTTTCACCAAGCTCGCCGCCTGACCTCCAGGGGGGCCCTAATGATTTTGTTAGTCATTCTCACTCAGATATCATTAACATGGCATAGGTCATGGCAAAATGGGTAGAATTGCAGGAAATCAGCTGCAAAACTGATGTTTTTTTGTTTTTTTATTTCTGTCCCATGGCTAAATGAGTAGAATTGCATGAAATGTGTTATAAAATTGCAACATTTTCTCTCCCCTCCCATGGCAAAATGTGTAGAACTGTCCTTCAAAACTACTTACTGTTGAGAGTTAGAACAGTAAAATACACAAGGTGCAAGTTCTCTGCCCCATGGCAAATTGAGTAGAATTGCATGAAATTTGTTAGAAAAGTGCAAAAACAAATCTCTGCCCCATGGCAAAATGTGTAGTATATTTCTATCTGCAGTCAATCTTGCTTAGCGCCCCTAAAAGACCAGAGCCTTTCCTGTTTGCAGAACACGTACTGATGGCCTTTCTCCAATACCCAACTTCTGTTCCATAGCCCAATTTACTAGTCTGTCTATCTCTGGCTTCTCCATGCTCACAAAACGTGTCACTGTCATCAGCCAGGTCTCCTCCTCGTCATCCCCAGAACTCTCACTTGGAGTCGCCATGTTGGTTGATCCTAAACAGGAAGTTGAAACCCGACCACCCAGAGGAGGATGGCGGTACTGCAGTTTAACTGACGCCGATCCCAGAAAGACAATTCCCATAGAGAAGTCAATTTTAAAAATTCCTAAAAACACACTTTCATGGAAGAGCACATGATGAACGTTGAAATATTCTAACATCGGCTGATAAACTGTTAAGTACTTACAGTACCTTCCCAATGAGCCATGGACTTCCGGCTGAGGCAAGAATGGTGACCAAAACTTTGTTGAATCTCAAGCTAACGACAACAACACCACAGCTAACAGTCCCACACTGTTCCTCTCAGCAGCCACTTCTTAGTCTTCCGGAATGCTTGCTGCTCTCCTCCAGGAGAGTCAAGATGGTAACAAAGGCCTTTCACAAAAAATTGACAAGAAGTCGGCTGAACTTCATTATTCCATTGACGGCCTGAAATCCACCCTTAATGATCTTCTTTTGAGAACGACTGAGGCTGAGTTGCGCATCGGCACTGTTGAAGATACCGTCACCCGACATGACTAGGTGATCAAACAGCTGCAGAAGGACAATGCCTATCTCAAAAACAAGGTGGACCAGATGGAGAACCAGAGCAGACGTAGCAACATCCTTGTGGTGGGATTGAAGGAGGACAGCGAGGGCCGTGATCCTGTCTGTTTCTTCACTGAGTGGATCCCTGATGTCCTGGGCAATAACAGCTTCACCAAGCCGCTGGAAATTGAACACACCCACAAAACCTTTACGCCGAAACCCACACCAGATGAGCGCCCATGGGCCAACCTGATCAGGTCGTCCGTTTCCAGGGCAGGGAGAAGATACTGCAACTTGCACGAGCCAAAGGGGACATCACCGTCAATGGCAAGAGGGTCAGTCTTTTCCCGGATATGAGAGCGGATCTCGCCAGACGTCGCAAGCAGTTCAAGCCAGCCACCAAAGCCCTGAAGGAGAAGAACATCACCGGCTACCTCATTCACCCTGCGCAGATGAAAGTTCAGTACAATGGCCGAAGCAATCTCTTCGACACACCGGGAGAACTGTTCACCTTTCTCAAAGAACTTAACTGCGTTTTAATTATGAAGGTCTATCCGTGGGATTTGACGCAGCTTATTGGATTTCCCTTGTTTGTGCTGTCCTGGGACTGAACTGCTGATGTCTATTTGGAACTGTTTACCCCAAACCCAACCCATGCTTAATCCACTAAAATATGTCACATTCAACGTAAAAGGTCTTAACAGCCCGGTTAATAGGAAAGGAGTCTACATACCTTAACCTCCTAGGGCTTAGTGGTCACATACGTGGACAGCACTTTTTAGCTCTTATGTCCACAATTTCATGGCTTATTCTGATTTAGATATTTATAAAAGCCTTGTATATTTGTCATGACATGCAAATTTGAAAAAAAAAGTGTAAAACTAGCAACTTTGTAGGTCGCTAAACATGAAGTACACGTAAGTGTACTTATGGACTGAGGCTCCTCGAAACAGCTAATATGCTTGTAAACATGCACACACGTAAAATGGGAAAAAAGCTAGCTCTAATGCAGCTAAAAAGCTGTACATGGTCCCAATGAAATAAATAACAATTAAATCACTAAATACGTACATACATACTTAAATTAGTTGTGTTGAAAATGTTAGTAAAAATGTAATATGCTAGTAAAAATGTGCACATGTAAATTATATTTTGTTACAGACATACAATGTCATCCTGCAACTATTTTGCAGCATATCAAATGTTCCAAACACTATTTTTAACTGTCCAAAATGGGCAAAAATGCAATGTTTCCATATTATTTTTACTCTCCGATAGTCAAAACATGTTCAAAAAATATGTGTATGTGTTATTAATACATTAAAAAACAGTCAGCAAAAAAACTGCTGTGTTCAAGGCAGAAATGAAGAGTTTTTCATTCTATTACACAAAGGTGACTTTATTGTGTTTTATGGAAATTCGGACCATGAATCCACATATATGGTTCTCTAAAAGTACATCATATCAAAAGATGATACTTAGTTTTTATTCTAATTAGGTTCCAATAAGCCCAAATAGCAAAGAGAAATAAAAAATGCATGTAAAAAAACAGCTTGGGCCTTAAGAGGTTAAGAATTTAAAGGCTGACATTGTGTTCTTACAAGAAACACATCTTACAGCCAGTGAAAACAAGAAATACAAGAGGTAATGGGTAGGACAAGTCTTTTCGTCCTCTTTTAACTCCAAAGCAAGTGAAGATGCAATTATGATAAGTAGAAACATCCCCTTTAGTGTCAGCAACACCATAGCAGGTTTGTTTTGGAGTCTTGGACCCTATTGAATATTTATGTTCCCAACTTTGATGACCATATGTTTATTCAGAATGTCTTCCTTTAGATTGCTTAAGTTCCAGGATGGCTACTGACTGGAGGAGATTTTAATTTTTGTTTAGATAAAGTTCTTGATAGGTCCTCTGATGAACCCTCCCCTCTTACCAAAGCCGCCAAACTCACCATGTCATTCATGAAGGATCTCAATTTACTAGACGTTTGGAGACAGATGCACCCACAGAACAGGGACTACTCTTTTTATTCACACCCACACAACACAGACACACGCATAGATAACTTTTTGCTATCAACCCAACTCTTTCATAGAGTGTAAGATACTGAATATCTCCCCATATTGCTTAATGACCGTTCTTCTCTGGTATTATCAATCTCCATCCCTACCAAGGTAAATGGAGCATATAGATGTAGTCTTAATTCTACACTCCTGAAGCAACCTGATATTTGTGCATTCATCAAAGAGCAGATCAATATTTTTACTTTGACAAACAAACCCTCTGCTCCTGACAGATTCATTCTTTGGGACGCATTGAAAGCCTATCTGAGGGGATAAATCATTTCCTATACTAAAGGGTTGAAGAAAAAACACAGTGCTGAACTAAGTGTCCTTGAATCGGAAATTCTTGAGCTAGAGAAAACCTACCAAAGAGGCCCGACTAAAGACCCATACAGGCTCTTGGTAAATAAAAACTGAAATATAATACTCTGAACACGTATCAAGCTGAGAGGGCCATTACAAGATCAAAACAGCGTTACTACAAACTTGGAAAGAAAGCACATAAAGTATTGCCATGGCAACTGGTAGCAGAGGAAAGTAAGACAATTAATGCTATAGAAACTCTTACTAATGAAATGTCTTTCGACCCTACTGAAATTAATGATACTTTAAGAAATACTACGAGGACCTCTATACTTCCCAATCAAGCGATTATCTATCAGAGATCAACTAATTTCTCTCCTCTCTCAGCCTCCCATGCCTGTCAGAGGACAGAGAGCACCTGAGTGAACAGTTCTCATTCCCTGAATTGTTGGAGGCCATACAATCTTTACCTTCATATAAATCTCTTGGGGATGAGTTCTATGAAACATTTATGGAGCTGTTGGTACACTACCTTATGGAAGTACGTAAAACTTTAAAAAGCTGGGGAGGACAGCGATCTTTCTCTCAAACTGTGATTACAGTAATTGACAATAAAAAATATAAAAAATACCTGAGCCTCCTATAGGCCAATCTCTCTCCTTAATATAGATTGTAAACTGGTCACCAATATGCTAAGAGACTCGAATCATGCCTCCCCCTGCTGGTCAACCCAGATAAGACCGGCTTCATAATTAATCGATTGTCCTCCAATCATCTCAGAAGGTTCTTTGATATAATTCACCTTGCAAACAAAAACAAAAACCTAGTGTCGCAGTCTCCCTCGATGCCAAAAAGGCCTTTGATAGGGTTGAATGGCCATATGTCTTTCGCGTTTTGGAAAAGTTTGGTTTAGGCACTGTGTTTATAAACTTGATAAAATCACTCTACAAATCTCCTAAAACTAGGATTGCTACAAATGCTTGATTGATTGAAATGATTGCTTCCTCTTCATTCCATCTCTATAAGGGGATCAGACAGGGTTGCCCTATTATCCCCCACCTCTTAGCCCTCGCCATTTAAACATTGGCTGAGGCCATTAGAACATGTCCTGATATACATTGTTTTGAGGTGGGCCCTCATACCCATAAGGTATCACTTTTTGCGGACAACTTTATTTTGTTTCTAACAAACCCAGAACATTCCCTCGCTCACTTACAGAACCTATTACAGTATTATAGTTTTTCTCTGTATATACGGTCAATTTTGATAAAAGCTAAATTGTACCATTGTCTGTCTTTGACCATTCATCAAGCATAAGTTTCCTTTTAGATGGTTGCATATGGGCCTCACATTTTTGGGCATAATGGTGGATGGCCAGTTTGTTGATAAAGGTGGAGGGTGATCTGTATAAATGGATGGACTTGCTTCTTACTCTACTGGGTAGAATTAATGTAATTAAAATGAATGCCCTGCCCAGATTTCTATATTTGTTTCAATCCTTCCCCATCCCTTTACCCGCGGCATTATTTTCCTCTCTCGACAAGCTGACTAGACAGTTTATCTGGCACGGTAAAACTCTTAGGGTTAGCCTGGATAAACTGACCATCGATTATGGTCAAAGGGGCCTAAACCGCCACATTTTTAGAATGCATTACTGGGCTGCACAGTCTAGATTTCTGGCTCAGATGTTTGACAATGGTCCTTCGCCATAATGGTTGAACATTAAAAAGTTTGAGGTACAGTACATGAGGACACCGGGGCAGCTAGTTTTTTTTTATAGATTTCATGTCCCATTTGTTAAACCAATCACAGACAACCTTTTAATTACACATTCTGTCCTGACATGTTGTGAACTGCATGAGGTGTTTACATTTACATTTACATTTTAGTCATTTAGCAGACGCTCTTATCCAGAGCGACTTACAGGAGCAATTAGGGTTAAGTGCCTTGCTCAAGGGCACATTTACGTCATTTAGCAGACGCTCTAGTCCAGAGCGACTCACAAATTGATGCATTCACCCTATAGCCAGTGGGATAACCACTTTACAATTTTTTTGGGGGGGGGGGGTAGAAGGATTACTTTATCCTA